CGCATGCAGCAGCGCCGCCGTCGATGGGAAGAGAACCCAAAACTAAAATCGACAACCCGACCTTTGGCTGAGATTACAATATATGATTATGAGAAGGAGAAGGAACGAAGTGACGATTGTGGGAAGGGTTTGGTTCCACTCTGGCGGGTTGACGAACAAGCAAGGTGAAAGAACGAAATGAAGAGAAGGAAGTCAGAAAGGTAAAGTTGGGTTGGCAATATTTTTATTTTTTTCATAGGGTGGAAAACTAAAATCGTTGAGAGTGGGAAATTTTACGGAAAAATGAAAAAAGAGGCTCCAAATGTTCCCTCCTGCACTTTTCAAATTTGTTTTTCCTTTTTCATACGATTAGAAATTAAAATGGGAAAGGAGAGAATGAAACTATTACAAAATGGCTCTAAGATTCACGCTAATTAGTCATTACTAAGGGGTCGTTTGCCGGTTACTTTTGGCTATAGAAGTCAAGTGAAAAGTAAACAGAAATTAATAAACCGGAAAATTGACAAGTTGATGGTGTATTATCATGTCACTCCAAAGAAACATGGTCCATTTTAATGAGCCAAGCCGAACTCATTCTCGGCTCTTTTATGAACGAGCTAATACGATCCGAACACGACACAACTCATTTATTGAGTTTGGGCTCATAATTTCGATCAAAATTCTGGCTCGAGCTAGCAAACAACTCATTTCATCCTAATTAGTCATTACTAAGGGGTCGTTTGCTTGGTGGAGTTGGATAACAACAAGAAGTTCACTCTAGAGGTAAAAAGGCAAACATGATTTTATTAGGGTCTAGGGTTTAGGGTTTAGGGTTTAGGGTTCAGGGTTTAGGGTTCAGGGTTCAGGTTCAGGGTTTCAGGTTTTAGGGTTTAGGGTTTAGGGTTTAGGGTTTAGGGTTTTGTTGGTTAAGTGGCAAGCAAATTGTTTGCGTGATTCATATTAATAAGCGTACACAATTGAACAAAGAATTTTGATTGTAGTCCAGCGGATGGAAGTTTGCAATGCCAATTTATGTCTTGGGTTCGACACCCATCAGAAGCATTTCAGTTTTGGTTTTAAGTTATTACTATTGGGAATAAGCCCGCGCTTCGCTGCAGGATGATTCATATTAATAAGCTTACACAATTGAACAAAGAATGTTGATTGCAGTCCAGCGGATGGCAGTTTGGAAGCCTAATTTTTGGCTTGTGTTCGAAACCCATCAGCAGCATTTCATTTTTGGTTTTAAGTTATTCCCCTTGCAACTTATTTCATTAAGGACATCTGCATATCAATATTGTCTAACACTGAATATAGGTACTTCCCTAAAAAAAAAAATAACACTGAATATAGGTACATATGCAAAAGTATTTCCCAAAATGTGTCCTAAGCATTCACAATAGATTCACAGTTTGACTGAACTACCTAATTAAGCCAGGTGGTAGTTGTTAAATGACAAAAGGCTAGACCAAAAGTGTTGTCAATTATGTCAGGGCTTAGGTAGAAACAGCAAAAGGCGGTCAATCAGTAGCAGTTTTCCTGATTCAAAATGTAGCTGGTCGAAGTTGATGTTCAATCGTCGAAAGCACAAGGATCCCAAAGTGTGGCAACCCTGATGTGCGGCACGGTGCTCTGACCTGGGTTTGGCCATGCAATGTACAGTTCTGCTGCGAAGGTCTTCTTGCAGTTTTTCTTGATGATGTCTTTTATTTCATCTTCGTTCAGTTTGAGATACTTTGCCGGCATCATGCAGAGTATTGACAGAGCTGCCTCGTGGTTCAGTACAACATCGGCCGCGGATGATTCAGATTTGCACCTTGCCTCGATGTGGTAATGTAGTCTGGTCATAATAGAAGCTCGTTAGGTTTGTTGAGAATAATGCAAGCGTTCCTTGCCAAAAGTGCAAACCGGTCAATTTAAATATTTAATCTCACCTTGGCGTTTCCCGAGTGGTTCTGCAAGCATCTATTTGGCATAGGACATGAGTGAACTTGATTATGGTTCGGTAGAGGGTCTGAAATATAAAAATTGTTTTTGCCAAGTTAGAGTGCACGGCAATAGCAAGTGAAACATATTTGAATGTTGGGATTTTTCAAAGCATCATAATATACCTCACGATTTTGTGGTATTGAACTCAAGTCTTCTTTTATCTGAGCAAGTGTTCTTCTTGGGGGGCGAGGGTAGCGTAAGTATCCCATCCTTTCAGCTGTTCCATAGATTATGTACTTGATCGGTTTGCGGCATGGCAGAAACCTGAGTTTTGCAAATAGATGTCTATGTTAGGCTAAGTTGTTGCAATGAAAGCATATTTGAAGTGAACAAATTGTCTTAGAGATTGTTAGGAAATCAATACCTGTTCATGACTCTTTCAGTGGTCTCATTGTATGAACTGATAATCAGACGACTGGCTTGTGTCGATTCCAGCTCATATATACCATCATCGTTGCATGCATCGGGCACGGAGACTACCGATGTAACTGTGGTTATCAGCGGGAGGTGCGACTCTACATCTGCTGCTTGTTGGAGGTAACCAGCGACATCGTAGCCACAGTACTTCACAACAGCCTTGTTCCCACTGTTTTGCAAATGCAAACAAAATATAAATTATTCGCTGTCGAAAGTTTTAACGATCTAAGGTACATAGTTTAGTATACCTGTAGTCTTCAATAACCAGATGGAAATCAAGCATGCCATCTTGGAGGGCAGTTGGTACTGTGATTCGCCGTACGCAGCCTGTGACATTTGTAATTGCATAGATGTTATGGGATTTTTAGTGTGTGTTGGTCGTGAAAGTGATGTACATTGCTTTACCTGCGTGGCAGTGGAAACTTTCAAACTTTGCAGGGACCATTGAGAAATGAGAGTTCATGAATGAGTCGAGTGGAAACTTAGGATTGTTCTGGTCTTCTTCGATGTTGTCAATCAGTTGCTCAGAGTTCATGAGCAGCCGCAGTTCTCCTGGGACAATGCGTTTGTTCTTACTCGAGGGGATTGTAACGATAATGCTTAGGCGATACAGACGACCAACTTTGATCCTCGCCATCACGTCATCAATGTCATTTTCATATGCCAGAGCTTCAATAACTCGTTTCTGCGGGATTAGCAGGTGTAAAAGAATGTTTAGATAAGCATAAGCAGCTGGTGTTTTTTTTGCTGGGAAATCGTAAACAAACCTTTTTGTCCATCCAGAGCATGCGCAATGCTGGCGTTTTCCAAACCTCTCCGTCAATGACTTCTGTCCACGTCTTTAGAAGCCGAGCTATCACAGTACGGTTGTTGGTTCCCAACCGCAAACCTCGAAACGTCATCGAAGCACAAATGGGGTCTACAATAGAGACAAGAAACACACTAAGTGGAGTCACCAGTAAGGTTTTGCGAATCAATCGAATCCAGTACCAATTTAGACCTACAGAAACCAAAACATCGAACCTTGGGGATCGGTGGGGTCCTCGTAATCCAGCGAGGCGACTGGGTTGTCTCGGCGGAAAACTGCCATAGTTCGTTGGTCCGCTGCGATCGTAGTAATCTTTATTAGAGGAATATGATGTTTTCTACTGAGTGGCGTGCTTAGGACCAGATAGTGACATACCTTGGCGCTAGGGTTTTCACCGTGGTCGAAAGGGGCAGTTTTTACCGCCGATGCCAGCGAAGATCTGGAACGAGGTCTGTGTTGTCGAGGGAGGCAAGATCAGGGCTTAAGTAAATTGAATTCGGCCTAAAAAAGACAGGCCGGAAGGCTGATTTGGGCCTTCTGGCCCAATGGTTGCTGCTTTTGGCCACAAATGTACATACCTGTTATTCAAAGGTTTCATCTTCGGTTTAAACCAACAGGCAATCTCCAAATACGACTGCCTATACGATACATCTAAATACACAATCCAATGACAAAAATTTCAGGTTGGCTAATTTCTTTGGAGTGACATGATAATACACCATCTACTTGTCAATTTTCCGGTTTATTAATTTCTGTTTACTTTTCAATTGACATCGATAGCCAAAAGTAACCGGCAAACCTTCACGTACCTACTAATGTACTACGCGAAGGACATACTTACAAGCAAAAACCCTAAACCCTAGACCCTAAAAACCTAAAACCCTAAACCCTTAACCATGAACCCTGAACCCTGAAACCCTAAACCCTAAACCCTAAACCCTAAACCCTGAACCCTAAACCCTAAACCCTGAACCCTGAACCCTAAACCCTGAACCCTGAACCCTAGACCCTGAACCCTAAACCCTGGACCCTAAACCCTAGACCCTGAATGCTGAACCCTAAACCCTAGACCCTAAACCCTGAACTCTAAACCCTAAACTCTGAACCCTAAACCCTAATAAAATCATGTTTGCCTTTTTACCTCTAGAGTGTACTTCTTGTTGTTATCCAACTCCACCAAGCAAACGACCCCTTAGTAATGACTAATTAGGATGGAATGAGTTGTTTGCTAGCTCGAGCCAGAATTTTGTTCGAAATTATGAGCCCAAACTCAATAAATGAGTTGTGTCGTGTTCGGATCGTATTAGCTCGTTCATAAAAGAGCCGAGAATGAGTTCGGCTTGGCTCATTAAAATGGACCATGTTTCTTTGGAGTGACATGATAATACACCATCTACTAATAAAAGAAAATAATAGTACTACTATTATTGAAGCCAACGCCGACCTACACAAACAAGCAACCCTAATAAAGTTAGCTCTAACGCTGCAGTTGCTTTCCTGACTCCTACTGCTCTTCAACTTTTCTTTAACACGGAACCGCCATCGCCTCTCTCTCTCTGATTGATGACACGGAACCCTGAACCCTGAACAGTTTTTTTTTGGAGAAACCGCAGAACAGTCTTTTCCCATTCCCTCCATTCCCTTTCTCTTTGGGGTAAAAACGAACAGTCTTTTCCCATTCCCTTTCTCAAAATCACCCCGCTTTTTCTACCAAAAAAAAAATCACCCCGCTTCCATCCGTTCTTCACCTTCAATTCTGCAAGAAACCCTCGATGTCGAACCCATCTTCTTCGTGGGTCGCCCAATTCAATCCGGGCGACCGGGTCGAGATCCGCCCCCGCGATGTAGGGTTCCGCGGCTCCTGGTACGCCGGCACCGTCGTCCGCCGCGAGGCGAAGAACACCAATCGTTACGTAGTCGAGTACGACCAGCTCTACGCAGACGAATCTGGGGAGAAGCTGCTGCAAGAAACCCTCGATTGCGTCCGCCGCTGCCGCCTCCCGAGAAGAAGGTCCAGTTCAAGTTCGAAGACGAAGTGGAGGCCTTCTACAGCGACGGCTGGTGGGAAGGGGCTATTATTGCGGAGCACTCCAGCGGGAAATTCGCGGTGTTCCTCAGAGGCTTTGACGAGCAGATTGTGTTTGAAGAGAAAGATTTGAGGTTGCCTGTTCAGTGGGTTAAAGGGAAGTGGGAGCCGCGATTCGAACAGGTTCAGCGGGAGAAAGAGGTGAGCTAATTCGATTTTATGACTTTTCCTGCTCCGTTGCTTGGTATAACAATTTTAGGGAATTTTGAATCTCGATCTAGTTAGGTTGAGGAAAGTAGAGAATGTTGGGTATTAGCGGAATTTTTGGCTCTTGTTGCTTACAAACACAGAGATACAGAGACTTCTTTCTTTCTTTTATGTCTCTTCCCCATTGCACTATGACACACCCCATGCATACATATATAATACACAATTGAAGAAGAAAGAAACTAATAGAATTACCCCATATACTCAATGCAAGTGAGCCCTCTTCCATCGTCATCTTCTCTTCCACGATACAACACAACACATGCATGAGTTAATACCAAATCCAATCATGTTCTCATGCATTGATATAGCCTTATCAATTTTGTCTTCAACTTCCAATCCACTTGCTGCAACTTGCTTGAATTAGTTTGATGATGTCTCTTACATGTGCTCTTGTTCTTCACGTCAACATTGGGGTAGATATTGATAATTGATCAATCAATAATATTAGGCCTACCATGTGAAGTGTTTTGGGGTAAATTTATTGCAAATTACCTTTTAACAGAGAATTGGGTGATCAGAGATGGCATTTGTTCTTTTTCACAATGTCTGAACCTCGTTGAATCGCTTCATAAACATGCAGATGTGGCTAAACTCAAACTTTTCCAAGGAAGTGATGAAGTTCACTCAAGGAATGCAAGTCGAGGTGCTAACTGACGAAGACGGTTTGAAAGGTGCTTGGTTTGCTGCAACAATTATTGAACCTTCGGGTGAAGACAAGTACCTTATTGAGTACAAAACCCTGAGGAATGATGATGATACTGAGTTTCTCAGAGAAGTCATTCTTGCTTGCAACATAAGGCCTTGTCCGCCGGAGATCATTGTTGTGGATGGATTCAAGGTGTGGGATGCAGTAGATGCTTACTACTAGGGCTGGTAATCGGTCGGTATCCGGTATACCGGATACCGAATAGTCGGTATCCGGTATACCGGATAACATTGTGTACCCACCGAATACCGATACCGAATGTTATCCGGTATACCGGATACCGAATACTCGGTATCCGGTATTAATACCGGTATACCGAATACCGATTAATGCATTGAGATTATACCATTAGAATTCGAGATAAAGAAACTGACGATAGCATTGGAGATTAACTAATTGGAATCCAATTGAAGTTTATTGTGAATACTTGGAACTTGAAGCATTGGAACTGACTAACGCTCAAAGCATCCCCTTGGTGATAAGGAGAATTTGAGTTTAGGCAAAGGATTAGATAGTAGTGGTGGCGGCGGTTGGTGGAAAGGGATTTGCGGCCGATAAAGAAAGGGAGGGATGAATGTCCTGGGGGAAGACCGCCGAGGCGTGCTGTGGTGGCGCTGGAATTCGCCTCGGCGGGCTGGAGAAGAAGAGTTGAAGTCGAACAGAGGAAAGGTGGAGGGGTCGATGTGTTGGGCTGCGCAGATGTTGATTTAATTTTAGGGTTTACACGCCCCCCCCCCCTCCCAATTTCAAACGCTGTCGTTTCCTTTTTTTATTTTTGTTATTCGGTATTCGGTATACCGATTTACCGTCGGTATATGACTGGTCGGTATTCGGTATACCGTTTGGCCAAGAAGTGCAGCCGAATACCGATACCGGCGGTATTCGGTATACCGAATACCGATTATAATCGGTTCGATACCCGGTATACCGAATACCGGTTTACCGAATACCAGCCCTACTTACTACAACGAGGGCTGGTGGGTTGGCGTGATTGCAAAGGTCTTGATCAACTCCAATTACGAGGTTAACTTTATAGAGTATGATGAGAAGACAACGTTCAATCAGGCTGATTTGAGGCCACATCAGGACTGGCTAAACGGCAAATGGGTTGTTCCTTAAGATGTCTGAATTTTATGCTCTCAATTCTAAAAACACTACTAGCCTTTGTTCTTGCATGTGGTCTTTCTCTTTCGGTGTTGTCTGTTACCGTTGTGCATCTGATGGTGGGTGTCGGTGGTGGGGTTTGGTGGTGTTTTTTTTTCCTTGCTTCTTTTTTTTTTGGGTCTGTTGTTTTTGGTGGCTCCAAGTTCTCTTAGACTAGCCTACAATCCTTCCTGGATTTCGGTCCAAACTCTCTATCACATTCCTATTTTGTAATGAAATCTGTCCGCCACAACTACTTATTTTATTCTTCTTTGCTCAACTCACAATTGCAATCATGTGGACCTTAAATTTGGAGGCTGATTTGGGCTATAATAAGGATTAAGCCCAACGAAGCAAATTAATGGATAATCTCCAACTTAATGCTAACAAATTAATGACTAATCTTCCAAAAAAATTTGATAGACCCCGTATTAAACCGACATCTTTTAATTAAACACTTTAACCAAAAATAGTTTACCGATCAAGAACACAAAGTTACCATGCCCTCTATTCCCTCACCACACGTTGGAGAGCCAAGCAAAGGTATAATTGTCGTTTCAAGTAATTAATCATTTGCTAGTGGTTTGTATTATTTGTTTCTTTTACATACCACCCAAGAGATCCAAGTGCACTCCCATGGCAAACCCACGTGGAAAGTAATGAGGCAACTATGTATTTCCACCCCATTTTTCCTCTCATGGTCGGGTATAGACCAAACTAGTAACAAGCTGAGTCACCCTAGTTGACCACCCATGGAGAGTTTCTCCAATGACATGCACGTAGCAAAGGAAGTGATGGTTGACTTACATTTAGTTTCTTTGCTTGACAAACATAAAGCATTTGATCACTAAATAAAACATAAACTGATTACCAAAATAGCTAGTGATAAAAAAATATGCTGCTTCCCACAAGGATCGAAACCTTGACCACCAGGTGAGAGGGCAAGGCGAGATTCCACTAGACTACAAAGACTTTTATTGTATTGTTTCACGTTGGATATTTTTATACATAACATTTAGTTTATACGTCTAATACCGAACTTTTACAAGTGACTTTCAAAATTCTCGGGGGGGCCGGGGATGCTGTAGCTCCGCCCCTGACTAATTAGCGTGAATCTTAGAGCCATTATTGGTACTTTCTTATGATTTAGGGTTCTGACATTTTAATTTTGTGGTTCTAATTATCATAGAGGAAGAGGAAAGGGTCCCCGATTTGGATCTCTAGCCTGCCTGCTCTAACGGTGAAATCGCCAGCTCAAGACGTTCCGTCTCTTATCTGGTCCCGTCCCAAAATCAAAATCCATCGAAGTCCATAGGGTTAATAAAAGCACAACGATCACCAGCCCAGCAATCCATTCTTAAAATACCTCTGATTCCAATTTAAAAGAGTTACTTAAAAAATAATGTAAGGGCCGGCCCATTGACCATGTAGTTGTTATAAATTTGGGCTGTAAATAGAGGCCCATAAGTCCATCCTTAAAAAAGTAAAAATCTCTATATTGGATTGCAAGGGAAAGCCCCATTTAGTCACGTTTGGATCAATGCTTATCCCGTCACATCTACTATGAGTAATTTGTTCAAAGTAACATAACTAAATTAAATTCATATGTTACATCAAGTACCATCTCAAAAGGATAATAAAGTTACAAAAGATATTAGCGTTCACATAACCATTACGCTAATAGATCATTAGAAACTACAGAAAGGTGGAGCATTACTAACATTAATCCTATCATATTAATAATACCCAATGCTACTTAGTTATCTAAAGCCGGGAACAACTTAACCAAAAAAAGATCAGAAAAATGCTCCACGTCGTTCCAAGGACCGAATGTAACCAAGACTCTATATGCCTTCTCACCAATCATATTCAGTAGTGTAACATACTCCGCATTTTCAATCTCAGAAGGACTGGCAACATAAGACATTATTCTTCGTAAGTAAGCTGATGGGAACACGACCTCAACATCAGACAAGTCATATTCAATGGTCAAGTGAATCAAATATATGTTCGATGCCTCAGACCAAGATCTCCTCAACTCTGTTACAATGCCAGACAAAATGTACGACTTCCCCTGAAATAATCCAAAACATAAAGAGGCGAAAATAATACGAAATCAGATGCAAATTATTGAGATAAGAGATAGATATGGATAGATAAAACAACATGTTATCTTAGTCACCTGATTACCACCATTCATTTGCATTGGGATAAGGTCTATAGTATCCACGGTGTCCCAAATTGCTACGGCAGTTTGATAGTTTAGATTCATAACGAAATCGTCTCCCATGGTAAAAGACCTATAATTTAGATTTTTAGCAATATTAGCAACTATATCGACAAAGGTTAGAGTTCTTACACTAATCAACTAATCATGTAAAACAGAATATAAACAAACTATAGGAAAGCAAGACATGACTCTGTCAATCCTTTAATGGATTTTTCAATTGGACCTATATTTTACTTCTTTTGACTTATTCTTTGTTGATTCTTACATGGAATTTTTCAACTGGACTCTACTACGTTTTATACAAACAATATATAATGTTTTGTTTCTATACAACACACACTACGTAATCAGATCCAAGTTAAATAATTTTGAAATATATATCCTCAACTATGGATCAATGCTATGCTAAAATCGAAGCAATAACAATTAATCATGTCTCTAAATTGAATAGGCAAACTACATTGTATTAGAAAGCATGCATTCTAACTCACCGGTGGAGCTCGCAAGTATTTTCTGGGAGTCTCTTCCTCAAAAACTTTCTGAATGCTAAGATTTTAGTAGATCGGGAGAAAGCAAAGTTGAAGGATAGCGGGCGACTGTACTTTATGAGTGTGCTGGAAAAAATTGTCGACGCTGTTGATGAGAGGAAAGAACATATTTTTATAAGGTAGGGTTTTAGAAATTACCTCCTGGAGATGGCGAAATGGGTTCAATGTCTGTCAGGCAGAGAGGAGGACAGCAACATGCATCCATGCAATGGATTTGTTCTCCATTTGGTTTGTTCGTCGGAAAGTGAACAGAGTAGTGGAAGCCGGATGGGAAGAATGGAGTTGAAAGGTCTTCGGCGGTTTTTTACGCGGTAGCGTTGTAGAAAGTACCTCCTGTAAATGCCGAGATGGAACTGATGTCGGCCAGGTAGAGAGAAGGAATTGAAAATGCGTTCATGCAATGGATTTGTTGTGCATTTGCTTTCTTCATCGGATAGTGAACAGAGCAGTGGAAGCCAAAAGGGAAGAAGGAAGTTGAAACGTCTTCTGGGTGAGGGGGGAGGGGTTTTTTTGTTTTGTTTTTGTTTGATCCAAATGTGACTGAAGAGGGCTTTCCAGTTTGCAATAAATGGCCGGTTGGTGATCCTTTATAATGGGCTAAATGAATAAATGTTGACGGGCCGATAAGACAAGTCCGCTAATGGGCCTGGTGAGACAAGTCCGATAGATATTTTTCAATACAGAGTGTTTTGTTGGGTGAATCGAGCGCGAGATTCCTGCTCTTCTTTTCTGCAAATCACTAATCAAACTCTGGGATAGAAAGCAATTAGGGTTTCGGGAATGTTTGGTTATAGTTTGGAACACCAGAAGGAAATTGAGCTTAAAGAAAACGAGATATTGATCGAAAGCCCCTTCACTGAGTTTGATTTCTCGTTTCTGTTGTTGGATTCGTTCAGTGGGCTAAAGTTACTTCGAGCCCACAAGCAATATGCCAAGCCTGAGTTATTGAGAATTAAAATAACAAGGCCCAATTGTTTTTCTTCTGTTCTCCAGATCGTTTTGTTTGCAAACGATGCGTTTTGTCCGCAAGCTTCTCTTCTTCCTCCTCTGTTATCGCTGAGTTTCAGAGTCCTGCAACCAAGAACAGAAAAACAGAGTACCACAACACAATTAAGAGAAAAATAAAGAGCAGAATGAATGACACCAGATTTTTACGTGGTATCCGGTTTGCAATGTGCAAAACCGACTAATCCACGGCCAAAGGCACTCGATTTGAGCCCTTTGACGATTCACTAGCACAG